AAAACAATCACGGAAGCAAATGGTGGGAGGAAAATCTTCAAGACATTGTGTAAGAGGGAAAAAATCGGAGGCTACATCAAGTAAGGAAAAAAAAAACACACGAAATATTGGGGGAGAAAAACTGAAAGAAAGAGTCTAAGGAAAAATTCAGTTGAGTAAATACTGGAAGAGAAAAACCAATACAACAAAGGTTTAGTTGGAGAGAGAGTTAACGTACACAGCGCTGGCAAGGAGTAAATAAGGTTGACATGTAACCAGGCAGTTGTTAGCTAATGCATGTGGAACATTATCGTAAAATAATGGGTCCTTGTTATTAGCCTTCCCTGGAATAAGAGAGAGAGAGAGAGAGAGAGAGAGAGAGAGAGAGAGAGAGAGACTGGATCAACGAGCGCCGCTGGAACTAGGACGAGAAAAAGTACCAGAATGATAAAACTGACGGTAATTTTATTGGCATTATTCAACAGTGACTCAAGGTTAGGGAGACGAGGTACACCGCTCTTGATGCCTATGGGACTTTATCTGAAGGTGCAGGTACTATGTGGGTGTAGGATTAGATGCAGCGAGGGATGGGATAGACATTGAAGTTATAAGAGACCTGAAGGAAGATGTAGGAAGTTACAGAGAATAAGATGAAGGAAGATAAACACCACCCAGGGAGGTACACACACCACCCAGGGAGGTACACACACCACCCAGGGAGGTACACACACCACCCAGGGAGGTACACACACCACCCAGGGAGGTACACACACCACCCAGGGAGTACACACCACCCAGGGAGGTACACACACCACCCAGGGAGGTACACACACCACCCAGGGAGGTACACACACCACCCAGGGAGGTACACACACCACCCAGGGAGATCACACTCACTACATGGGAAAGTACACACACCACCAAGGTACGTATACAGACACACACTTCTAAAGGAAACAGACACTGGAAAGTAAAATGACATGGTTTTCCCACAAGCACCTGTCACAAGCAAGTAACTGTTGAATGAAAACAAATACGAAAGGTATAAACGTTGCTCACTGTACACAGGTAATGGACGTGGTTCAGGTGTGTTTCTGCATTCTTTGTGTCGAGACTAAGGACCAGCTTGGCTCAAAGTCACGGTGTCTTTTATTTTTTAGTGTGTATTTCTCTTATTTTCCTCGCTGCTTTTGTTTGTATTTTCACTCAAGTTTTATGTGTGTTGTTCTTACTCGTGTTAATATTACAGCGCCTATTCGTGAGGTTTATTTGTAGAGTGAGGTACTTTATATAGCCGTGACGTGATGATTAGGTAGATAAAGTTGTCACGCTGTCACAGTGGCGATTCAGGCCAAGATGTGGTGGCGACACGGACCATTATGGCAGCACAAGGTCGCGTGGCGGTGCAGGCGTGGTGCTATTGACGGTCAAGATGGTATCGTAGACATTGGTTAACATCAGGGCTATGGGGGGTAGTGGGGCTGGCGAGGAGAGTGGGGCAGGCGAAGGGAGTGGGGCAGGCGAGGAGAGTGGGGCAGATGAGGGTAGTGGTCCTGTCGAAGATAGTGGCGGGCAAGGGTATGGTGGGGCAGGCGAGGGGAGGAGCGAGGTAGTTTTATCACCACTACAAGCACGGAGCCGACGTGATCGTAAAGCCTCAGGCTGATCGGTTGTATTAGCTCTCGGTAATCCGGATTTACGGCCCAATTTGAGTCCATTCTGTTATTTGATTAGCATTGTTACTTGTAATTCACAGTCAGGTTTAAATGGTTGGAGATGTGTGAGCCATGTTTTATCCTCGGGGTCATCTGCTGTTGTCCAGGACTCCAGGCGTCTTACACAGATTGAAGCTCGAGGGTAAAACTGATGGGGAAATTCTTGGAACGTAACATAGACGCCCAGTGCTTGATGACCGGCCACTGCTGGAGATTATATGGAATATTAATAAGCGTTATCCTTGAGAATATTAATGGCGGCGATGATGTGTGAGGTGCAGGACGGTGTGTGTGTGTGTGTGTGTGTGTGTGTGTGTGTGTGTGTGTGTGTGTGTGTGTGTGTGTGTGTGTGTGTGTGTGTGTGTGTGTGTGTGTGTGTGTGTGTGTGTGTGTGTGTGTGTGTGTGTGTGTGTGTGTGTGTGTGTGTGTGTGTGTGTGTGTGTGTGTGTGTGTGTGTGTGTGTGTGTGTGTGTGTGTGTGTGTGTGTGCGCGCGCTATGGAAAGGATAGAGAGTCTTGATAATTAGTTTTTACGATTCTTGAAGCGTTGTGTTTTGGGTAGTGTACAATCATCAGTGTGTGTGTGTGGGTGTAACATAAGGAGGGGGGTGTCTGTCGCTATTAAGTGTGGGTGGGAAGAAGGTAAGTCCTGGGAATGAAATAGAACCCGAGTGCCAATTTAAGTCAATGTAGAGTGGCAGAAAACTTAATTTGTCACGAAGTAAGAGTCAAATGAAGGGCAACGCTGGTGGTGGTGTATTGTTGATGCCTTTTGTAGCGCTGGTGAGCGTACAGGCGAGAGGGGGGGGGGGCCCCGTTGTGGTCTCGTGCGAAGGGTGGCCTGTGCTGTCTGTAACAATGTAAATATTACATGTGTGTCGGCGGTATACCTCAAGAGTACATGAGTTGAGTTGCAGAGTGTCTAGTTGGGACTTATCGTCACTCATGGCAACACCAAGAGCTGCCATGTTTTTAAGATCCAAAGTCAAGGTCACAGATGTGTATGTATGTATGTATGTATGTATGTATGTATGTATGTAGGGTAGCTCAAAAACACTAAGAGCTACGGTGTAAATACTCAGCGTATGTATACTAATTATGGGAATCCTGAGAGCTGAAGGTGGCTAGTACACCTTCCTCGATTGCAATTACTGGTTGTTATTTTAGTGCTTTTTCCCTCCACCTATCTTCCTCTTTTGTTACAGTTTATTTCTCTATGACTTTTTTCTCTCTTCCTCCTCTTCTTCCTCTCTTTTTTCCTCTTTCTCTGACCTCATCTCTCTTTCTCTTTCCAGTATTCTTTCTTCCTTTTCTATATTTTCCATGGTTCTCATTTCATTTTTTTTAGCTATACATCTCTATCTTTTCTTCTTTCTCTAATTTCTCTTCCGGCTTTTCGTTCTCATTCTCCCATTCTTGTTTTTTTTTCTGCCGTTTCATCTTTTATTTCCTTGACTGTGGCCCTGCTCTACCTTCTCCTCCTCCTCCTTCTCTTTCTCTCCTCCTCCTTTCTATTTTTCATTCTTCCTCTTTCTTCTTCCTCTCTCCTCTTCCCTCCTCTCACCTCCCTCCCCTGTTTATTATTTTAGTTAGGGTAGTGGACGGTGTCTGTCTATCTATATGTAAGAATATATATTTTACATCTCGTTTACGTTCTCTCTTCCTCCATGTCTTCGTTTTCCTTCTCCACCTCCCTTCCATTCCTCTAGTTCACCCTGAAATTCAACCGCGTGCGTGTGTGAGAGAGAGAGAGAGAGAGAGAGAGAGAGAGAGACGCATTTTTATACACCTCCGTTTGTTTGTTTGTTCATCTTTTTTCCTTGCTACGTGTTATCATTGTTATCCTCCAGAGGCGATCAACTTCATTAGGGAAACATTCCATGCGTGTATGTGATAAACTTTACCGCCTGTGTTTACGTTTCTGCTAACTAGTCTTGCGTTAGTAATTTACAAGACGCCCTACGTGTTGAAAGGATATTCTCTCTCTCTCTCTCTCTCTCTCTCTCTCTCTCTCTCTCTCTCTCTCTCTCTCTCGTTGTTGTCAGAAATTTGTCTTGTTATTTGTCTTATGATAAATTGGTTTGTAATCATTCATATGATCGCGAGAGAGAGAGAGAGAGAGAGAGAGAGAGAGAGAGAGATAACAAAAACTAATTAGAGAGAGAAGGAAAGAGAGAGAGGTAGAGAGGCAACACAAGTACCTAATTAGATCAACTGATTGTACTCACTACCACCACAACGAGTCATTCTTTAATCCCCTTTTTTGCTTTATTCCGATAAGATATTATATTTAAGCTGCTCCATTCCAGCCTGTGTTGACCCCGCGGTGAGTGTAGGATACTCCCTCTTGGCTGGTATGAACATATAGATGCATTCATTATGTTGTGGCTGACGAGTTATTTTATTTATTTATTTTTTTTTAATAGAGGAGTTTCTATTTAGGGGGAGAGGGGGTTCATTTGGCTATTTTTTTCAGGCTTTCCACTCGGTAATTCAGGGTATGTGTTTAGTATCGTTGCCCCTTGAGGTATTAGACTCTATGCTGTAATATAAAATACAGTCCAAAATTTCGGTCGTGTTGGTGCTCAAGGGTCAACGCTCATTAATTATTAAACTCTGGAGCTATTGTTAGGAATCTGTGGCTTCTTGATATTGTTCCGGTTGTTTTTATGGTTGTTTATGGTGTTAATTCTTCTATAAAGTTGTTGTTGTTGGTTGTATTATTATTGTTACCGGTAAGAGGATTATTATTAATATTATTATTATTATTATTATTATTATTATTATTATTATTATTATTATTATTATTATTATTATTATTATTATTATTATTATTATTATTATTATTATTATTATTATTATTAATATTATTATTATTATTATTATTATTATTATTATTATTATTATTATTATTACTACCACCAAGTGTATGTTTGGCTGTAGGTCACTGTTAGTCGCCTGAACCAAGATGCAAGGACCAGTGACAACGCTGTTAAATTATCAACTTTTTTTTTTTAATCATTGATAATCGTGATTGTTTCAGTTTGCTGCTTAGTCTGGTAAAACACGCCAGGATCACCCATTACATTATTCTGCTTAAGCTAACAGAGAGGTTATATTATATTATGTTTATTTGTTATTAATGTTTTATGATGATGTCTTTACTATCCAGACTGTGGAAGGGCCATCGTGCTACAGCAGATTTTATTAATGCCTTTGAGTATATTTTCCTGTTCTTTATGACCATCAGTGTTGAAGTTTATGAGAGTGGACGCGGCATTAATGTGTATGTGTGTCGTTGTTTCAGAGCCAGTGAACGTCGCAATCTCGCTATGATCGGCTCCAAAGATGGCGGCTCCAGCAAGAGTAACGTGTCGTCGTCGCCTTCCAAGCACCTGGGCAGGTCGTCCTCGGTGCCAACGGAGCGGCCGCCCCTTACCCACCATCACCACCACCACTCCTCCCCCTCCCAGCCCTCCAAGCTCTCCTCCAGTACCTCCTCCCTCAACACCTCTCCCGCCCACCTAGTCAAATCGGCCTCCACCTCCACCCTCACCTCCGCCACCAACACCTCCACTACCACCAGCTCCTCGTCGTCCACCTCCAACCTGACCAGCGGCGACCATGGACGCACCCGAGTTACCGACAGCGCCAAGGACTCAACGCTCGAGAACGTCAAGGACGAATATTGCGAAAAAGGTTGGTTAATATTTATCGTGTTTCTGAGGCCACAAGGACGTAATAATGAGGGACTTCGACGGCTGTGTTGAGATGTCTTCTATAATGACTGAGCAGTAATACACACACAAGCTTTTCTTTCAGTGCTTCTTTCTTGAGTATTAACGAATAAAACTCACACCTCTTTTTATGGTTGCAGTCACCCAAAAAATGTAAACAAACAGAGAGGGATTGTGGGTTTAGGTGCAGTTAATTGTGGTTGTGAGGTGGAAAATATAACCCCTTGTCATGTTCGACGGCTGTTTCCTTGATGACTCATGAGGCGACGCTGTTGTACCATTGATGATTCACCTTAAATGTCGGGAAAGGTGAGAGAGAGAGAGAGAGAGAGAGAGAGAGAGTATTTATAACTGTACCTGTAAAAAAATATCTCATTACCTCAAGTGCATCCAATTACCTGTCCTTGCACTTACTGCTTTATGGAGGTAAATAACTTGGTTTTGTCCCATACTGATAAATATAGCATTCCATAATTATCGTATACACGCAAACTCCGTACCTCTGTGTGTTCATGTTATACTCTTGTGTACATACATACATACATACATGTATTTGGTGCTCTATGCTCGTGTTGACTTATTTAATTGATATAAAGGTGAAATGGGTGATTATGGGCGGACAGTGGTCGTTAGAGGAGGTAATAGTTGTTAACTGGGGTACAATAGTTTAGGGGTAGAATGACTGTAAGTGGTATGAGGATAAGGTGGTTAATACAGAGCTTAAAGAGACCCGTGATTGGTGCTCATTGACTTTTTATTAAGACTATAGAACTGTTGTTAAGAGTGAGAGAGGGCTTTCAGGTTTTATTGGTCGTTAGAGGAGTCAAATGGTTGTTAGGAGGGATGAATGGGTTGTCAGACAGGTTGAACAGCTGTTAGCCACGCCATGCCATAGTTTGGTTGTTTGGCTTTTAAAGAGACTTTGAGTGTCAGTTTGTTCATATGTCTGTCTGTTTCAACAATATATATATAAATAAATATATATATATATATATATATATATATATATATATATATATATATATATATATATATATTTTTTTTCTTACTGTGAATTAAGGGAGCACACCAGAGTACACAGCCGTAGCCTAAGTGAGAGTTGGTTGTGTTATCATAGTCTGAAGGAGGAAAGTTGTTTACGCAATGGATTTTAAGCCCAGTGTTAGATACAGGCGCGTGAGGGGAGGTTGGATCAGCAATTGGCGGCCTGAGTTGGTGTATCGTGGAGGAGGGACGGAGGAACAAGAACAAGCGTATGTAACAAGATTTAAGGCAGTGCAGTACAGGCGTGTATGTGACCGAGTCAGGTATGTGTGGCTCACGTGTTGATGGAGTGACTGTGGTCAGTGTTATGTACATTAAATAGTACCTTAACATTCTCTTCGCACTGTTTTTCCTGGCCGTCAGCTGCCTGTACTATACTTCCCGTGCACGATAAGCGCCGTCGCCTTATTAGAATTACTTTCTACAGTACATTCCTTGTCTTCCGGGGTGATTATGTATCAATGTTAAATCTCTTATGTTATATTTAAGAGCGTGCTACCGGATCGTAAGTTGTGGCACTTAATTTAGTAATGACGTAAATTTGTGGCCCGAACATTACAACTCAAGGCCCGTGTTTATGCCGCCGGACTCTCGCTCGTAATCCCTCCTAATTTTTGACAATTAATTTTAAGTGTTTCGAATATCATAGTGCGTCCGGGTGTGCGTGCTGCCGCTGTGTCGTCTTTAGGGGGGGGGGTGGTAAAGAGAGTGGATGTGAGGTAGAGGATGGAAGTGGTGGAGGAAGGGGGGTTGGAGACAGACTACTGGGGGAGGGGTGTAAGATGTGATGCTGGTGGAGAGGACAAGGAAAGGAGGGAAGGAAGAGAATGAAGGAAAGGAGGTAAGGAAGAGAATGAAGGAAAGGAGTGAAGGAAAGGAGTGAAGGAAGAGAATGAAGGAAAGGAGTGAAGGAAGAGAATGAAGGAAAGGAGGGAAGGAAGAGAATGAAGGAAAGGAGGGAAGGAAGAGAATGAAGGAAAGGAGTGAAGGAAGAGAATGAAGGAAAGGAGGTTGTAGGTGAGAAGTGGGAAGGAGGTGGAAGAGATAATATATTGGAGAGATTGAGACTGAGTAGGGATGAAAGGGGGAAATAAAGGAAGGGTAAAGGGAGAGAGGACGGAGGCAGGGTGGAAGGGAAAACGGGTAGGAGGCGGGGGAGGATAAGTGTCAGGAGACTGGGTGGTGACCTTGGTGGAGGAGCATTACTTGGGGTAATGACACAGTTATAAGCAGGTAAACACAGACGGGCGTCACCACCCTCAGGTTTTATAATATTATGCTGTATTATATTGTTTGATGACGTTCATGTGTGATAATAACTGTAGTTGAGCCTCCGTGTTATGTCTCATTGTGTATAACGTTGTAACTCATCCACCACCGCCGTGCTTTCCCGTCCCGGTGTTCGACATACGGTTCAGTAACATACGGTGGGTGGTGAGTTGACAGGCAAAGTGGGGGATAGACAGTGGCAACACAGTTTTGAGTGTGTTGTTATACTGGTATTACTGGGGGAAAACTGCCAGCCTAGGCCGTCCCGTATTCACCAACTTTCTGTCCTCCAGTTCTTTACGAGTGACACTACACAGTATGATCGCTGTTTAACAGTTAATTCCATGGTGTGTGGGTTTAGGGGTGCGTATGTTGGTGCGAGAGAGAGAGAGAGAGAGAGAGCCATAAGCATATGATGAAACAGTGGTGGTGACGGTAGTGGGTGGAGGTACTGACCGGGTGGTGGCGAGTGGCAGCAGCAGCAGTAGTGGCTGGCGGCGGCAGCGACAGTAGCGGATGGCAGGAGTGGCGGAGGCAGACCACCAAAACTGTCCTTTATGGTGGGCTGGGCCAGATTATAAACCTGAGATATACGATCCTGGCCGGCCACGCTCTCTAATTTTTACGACACGGCCACCCTCACATTAAACCCCCTCCCCCTGCCCCCCTTACCACCCCTACCCCCCACAGATTTGCTCCACATCTTTTCCTCCCTCCTCCTCTCTCCCTCCTATTCCTCTTTCCATCTCCTACCCCCTCTCTCCCTCACCCCCTTCTCCCTCCACCCTTTCCCTTCACGTCTATAAAGTATTGGTGGCTGACGAGGAATGAAATTGGAAGGTGATAAAGGAAAAAAAAGGTAGGCCTATGCCCTCTGATGTGTGAAGGTGGCGGGAAAGAGAGGTGGCGAGAAGGAAGGAATGAAGGAAGGAGGGAATGAAGGGGTTGGATAGAAATAAGAAAACAGGGGATTAAAAGCCAGTAAAGAGGGAGAGGGGGGAAGAAGAAAGAAAGACGTTGACGGAAAGAAATGAGAAAGAATCGAGTCACGGAATAAGAGGGAGAGAGTATGAATGGGAGGGGGGGAATGAGGGGGAGGGGTTGCCTGGAGGAGAGGGAGAGGTAGGGGGTGTTGAGGGGGATAGGATGAGAGAGAGAGAGAGAGAGAGAGAGGGGGGGGGGATTACGTCTATGTTACTGTACCGTACATAAGTTACTCCTGTACACGTATTTAAGTAGGTTTCTTTTATTCTCCTGATCCTTCTTCCTCTTCTTCCTTCTCTTTCGCTCACCACTTGCTCCCTCTTCCTTACGTTAGACCTTTATCCCTCTTTGCTCCCTCCTTCACAATCCCTTATTTCCTCTTCCTCACGTCAAATCTTTTTTTCTTCTTCTTTCCTGCCGTACAAGTCATTTTTTTTCCTCTTTCCTCACGCCATTTCTTCATCCTCTTTCCTCACGCGAAGGTATATTTTCCTCCCGTTGCACACGCTATTGCTTTTCCTCGCCATTTTGCTCATTTTCAAGCCGTCTCTACCTTTCCTTTTATACTTCTATACTCTTTATGGAGTTCCTTTGTATTCCTCCGCGCGCTGGATTTTGATAGTCTTTTCCATTCCGTTTCATTTCCTTTAGCACTGTAAACTTAACGAGTGTGATGGTTAGTTGAGACTGGTCGTTGAGTAGTGCCTGGGGTTGTTAGATACATGACGCAAGAGATTATAATAGTACAGGAAAGTATGTATAATACTATAAAAGACACCTGTTTGGTCCACTCGGTAAATTACCTCACCTCACCTCACCTGTTTCACGTTTTCTATGGATGCTCCTTCCATGTGTTTTTGTTATCAACGAAAAAATAAAAATGTCAGGGTTTCTGTTCTCATAACCCCCATTAGTTATTTCATTCTCCTCGCCTTTAAGAACCTTTAGTATTTTTATCCTTCTAAAAATGAATGGTATTTTTTTCCACATCATCAAGCCCATAAACCTTGGAAATATCACATAACATTTTGGTTTCTGTTCAGACTTATCATCCCATTTGTAACGTACAAGTAAAAGATATCTTTGTTCACCTTTATCAGTCCATAAGTTACGTTTATAATCCCGTAAAAGAGACTTGGTACATTAGGAGGAACTAAATAGCACGTGGAATGTTCAATATGTCGTCAGGTAGTGTACAGTAGTCCATTTGTGACCGTAAACAAACAGAAACAAGGAAATAAGCCTCATTAGATAACATGGTAAATGAACACAAATAACTGATGGAGGAACTAACCGTATGTCCCTTGACTGCACTACTGTACCCTTGCACCGTACTGTGCACCACTGTAGCACTGTAACCCCTTGCACTGTGTACCCTTACTTTGCACCTTTGCATACTGTACTTGCACACTGTACTTGTACTCCTGTACCCTTGCACCGTACTGTACCCTTTGCACCGTACTCGTACCCTTTGCACCGTACTGTACCCTTGCACTGTAATTGTACCCTTGCTGTACTGTACCCTTGCACCACTGTACCCTGCACTGTATCTGTTTGCACTGTACTGTACTGTACTGTAACTGTACCCTTGCACCGTACTGTACCCTGGTAAACCTTGCACTCGTGTGCACCCTTGCACCTGTGCACTGTACTGCCTGT